GAATTAATTACTTATCCCATCACATACACTAACATAACCTGTTATTTTGCACATCATTAGTGAAAAATTTATTAGAACGAATCCATGAAGAACAGATTTTAAATTAGAATTTTATACAGCAAGTGCCATTTTCACTTAAAAGAAAAAAAAAGTAATTTTTAAATAAAATTTAGATTTGGAGAGGATTAAAACAGTGATAATACTATGCTGTTTGACAGCTTGAGAAGGTAAGATTTAAAAAAAACCCCACATTTTTATGTAAAACAGATTTTTGGATTAGGATGTCAGATAATCAACGGCAATCATCGTATCTTTGAACAAAACAGTCTCTTTTCCATTAAAAAAACATAGAAAATAACTTTTGTAGAATTTTAAACAAAGCAGTATGTCCTGTTCTTACCCATTTGTACTCAAAATACTCCTTGTCAAACCTGGCATGCTGGGTTGAAGCCTCCCGTGCCCTGAGCTGTCAGCAACCTGTAATTTCTCTCCTGGACACTGACGGTGTGTACTGGTACCTAAAATCACAACAGTGGCAGTGAAGGCAGGAAGATCTCCCTCCCATCGATGGTTTTTACCTTTCAGCTGCCCACCCCTTTTTAAGCAACCTACAAAAAATTTGCAAAGACCTTACTTGGCAAACCTGTCTTGAGGTCCTTTGTGCAGCCAGGCAGACTGTCCTGTCACCAGGACCTGGGGTTTGATGAGGCCTTTTGGCTGAAGGAGAGCTGACGCCTCTTTTGGGGGGTGTCCCGTCCACCCACAGGCTCAGGAGAGCTGGAACTGGTTAGAGGCACTGTACAGAGCAACAGCAGCCATGACAGAAAACTACAGTGAAAACAGTTGTGAGGATATATATGCAGGCAGAGATTTTTACAGTCCAATAAGCCAAAAAGAGAACATCAGAGAAACATATTAAAAAGGGTAGCACGGAGGCAGGTAAATTGTATGTCAGTTTTAAATGATGTGATCACCAAAATCAATGATGTAAGAGAATAAGGTTAAAATTTTTTTCTTGTTATTTTTTTTTTTTTCCAAATAGCAAACTGAAAAGAAAGGCAGAGAGGGATATGGGCCTCTTCGTTCTCCTGGGTACCCAAACCTCTATTTTTTTTAGGAGCAGGGAAGAAGTTTCCAGACTGAAAAGTCTGCAAACGAAGCTAAACAGCAAAGAAAGAACACATTAATTTTTTCTTAGAGAGTCAGAACAGAGAAACATGGTGGTGACGGGAGCAGAGCCAGCGGAGAGCAACCTTTGCCTTTTTGGAGACTTCATCAGCCTCCTGTCAGCTACCCCAGAGCTGCCTGTTGTCCGACAGGGAAACCCGCAACCACTGCAGCTCATGTGCTCCAGTCCTGCCCTCTCCCACGGGACATTTTTGCCTCTGGAAAACCTGTGGCCAGAGGACAGTGCAAAGTCACAGGGTCACTTTCTCTGAGGCACCCTTCCCTGGCTGGTGGCCCTGAGGCTGTGGAGTTATCCTGTGGGTGGTGGAAATAACCATTAACAAAGAGATCTTAAAATACAGTGAAAAAGGAAGGAGAAGATTCTGAATTATTAAGGTTTCCTCCTTGTAATATCTCTACAGTTCACTGTAATATCAACAAAGCTCAAGAGAAAGCCTTTATTTTATCTTCTTAGCAGTGTTGTTTCCTGTTTTTGGACAAGGGTTGGACTAGACGATCTCTAGAGGTCCCTCCCAACCCCTCCCACTCTGTGAACCTGTGACTGAGGACTCACAAAAAAAGGACAGCCTTCTGCCAACTGCCATGCGTATGGATACCGACGACCTTCCTGCGAATCACATCTCCGAGCTGAAATACCAGTCTAATGGAAATAGGAGAAAAGACACCAAACAACTAGGAATTTCCACCCCAGTCTTCCAGCCCTGCTGGACAGGGAGAGAGGAAGGAAGGATCCGCCAACAGCAAACTCGGAAGAGTCACCGTTGAAGGGCCCGTACGCAGCGAGCGGACGTAGCTGCGGTGAGCGGTACCAGCACAAAGCCCAGCACGGGTCTTGCGGAGACAAAACGCCGGCTCTGCTAGAGAAGACACAGAGTTAGATGTTGTTCCAGTAACAGACACCAGTTCCTTAGGCTGGTTTAAAGGGAGGGCTGCGCTCGCCTTGAGATGTTGGGCAAGCTGACACGTCTGCTTGACTCTTCTGATCAGTGATGAGGAGAAACCACCCAGTCTGAGTTTTTGCGAGTTGCGTGGAAGTGGAAAGTTGAGCCGAGACCTTTATGTTCCTTCCAAAAAAATCCCTTTGTATGCTTTTATCTGGGTCTTTTTATTTTAAAGAGAAGATCAAGATGCAGCAGGACCAGCGTTGGTTGTAGCAGCAGCAACAAAAATCACGGTAAGAGCTTTTGTCTCCAGCTCTTATTTCCACGTGGATTCTCTGATGTTTAGTGAGAGTTGATCTCCTGTTACAAACTTTCCCTGGAAGAGATTTACTTGGTCTTTGTCTTCAACACCTCTGCCTATTTCAACAATGTTTGTAGCTCCCTGTTACCTGCAAGACCCCATCAAACCTTGACCTCCTGTCAAACTTCTTCGAATTGGCCACAACTTAAAAAAAAAAAAAAAGTATGAGGGAGATAAGCAGGTAGGGCACAGAATTAGTGCAATGAAAACCTATTTCCACTACTTCTCCGCTCCCTCTTCCCATAGATGCGTGGGTGTCGTGGTTTAACTCCGGCTAGCAAAATACCAAGAAGCCACTCTCACAAATCCCCCTCCCCTCCTTCAGTAGAGGGGATGAATTGGAGGAAAAAAGAAATAAGGAAGCTCGTAAAATTGAGATAAGAACTATTTACTAATTAAATCTAAATGAATACATACACGTGCTGGTAATAATAAATGATTAAAACAATAGAAAATAAAACATATGTTACAATATGATACAATTCCCCACCACCCACTGACCGATGCACAACAGGTGCTGAGCAGTGGGAGTCAGACCCAGAGAGCCCGAGAGCCGCAGCCCGAGAGTGATCGCAGGCCGAGATTTAACTCTTTCCTGGCTGAATCCAGCACAGTGGGCGGCTTGGCAGCTGGCAACACCACCACCAGGTAAAGGGATTCTGCAAAAAGAGGGGGTCTTTCCATTTGCTGCCTCAACAAATCGCTCCCTACAGCAAGAGGCAGCCTCTGCCCCTACGGCCGCGCAGCCGTTTTCAGCTCCTCACCCCAGTTCGCTGCAGCGCGACAAAGCGCTCCAAAAATAACGTTTATTTTTCAAAACTGGAAAATGGCACAAACCGCCCCAAAGGAGAGAATGACAATGGCATGAGTTCAGCATGGGCTCGTGAATGGACCCTCCCTGCCAGGGACAGGAAACTGGAACCTCACTGAGAGAGACTGAATGGAACCAGGTCGAACGAAAGCGCCAGAAACCGCGGCCATCGATAGCCAAGTTCTGCCGAAAGGGTAACTCGCCCGCCTGTCAGCCCTTCGCCAGAGCGAGCCCAAGGGCCGTGCCACGGCTCTGCAGCTACAAACGCCTCCGCTTCGCAAGTCTGCACGTAGCAGGGGCTGGAGCGTGACATCCAAATGATAGCTTTAAAGTTGGGGATCAGCAGAGCCTGAACATCTGATTTCAATTCTGGACTATTTCTGATCAGCGGATGTTGATGCAGTACCCCAAATACACTTACAGTTTCTGTTCAAAATGGTATCCCTCAGTAATGATAGAGCTGTTATGTATGAAGTGCTACACAGAGGCCACACCACTGCTGCTGAGTGGACTAAAAGTTGGTCCAGGCGGAGGAGAAATAAACTAAATCATTCCCTTTGAATAGACAGAGCCAGATTTGCCACTACCTTACATCTTGTATAGCCATTTAGATCACGTCTACGTAGGGTAACTTTTATGAAAATGAAGTTATAAATGCATAATAAATCCATCTAGAAAAATTCCTTGCCGATGAAGAACAGAAAGTAATTTTAATTTGTAAAGTAATAAAAGCTGAAGGCCAACTTGTGATGCTAAAATTGAAGTCAGAAGTTATATGAAGACGGGTTTTCAGAAGCAGTAATTTTTTGCTGTAATATTTGAAAGTGATCAATTCAAATTCTGCTTTTGAAAATTTTTCTGAGCTTTGATCTTGCTCCAAGTTCAGCCCAGCACAACTATTATACGGCTGACGTTAAAAGTCTCAAAACAAAGTGATTTATAATGGAAACACAGAAAATAAATCACTATTTCAGAACTTCCTAACACGCTGCAGATTAGATCCAGAAGGTCAGACAAAGTCGTCATGGAGTCTTTGAGCTCTCTCTGCCACAGCGGAGGACGGCAACACACGCAAGAGCAAACGCAGCTGACGCTCAGAGAGACGCAACGACTCACGCCTTCCTAGGTGTTGCTGCTTTTTTGGGGGACGCTCTTAAAGATCATCACCTACCGAGGCCGTAACCCGCAGCAAGCTGAGAAGCAAGGCTTCCTCCGGCTGCAGCAAGTAGGTATGTTCACCAACGCCCCGCTGAAGAACATTTGACTGCCAAAACAGCAAGAGCCGTTAACATCCTGAATTAACGGGCTTAGTGGTTTTCAAACGAGGTATTTTCATGATGGACATGGTGTGGATTCAGCAAAGTTCGCCCTTTAACAAATACAGTTTCAATTTCAAAGATTTGATTAGGCTTAATACCATTAGGGAACCATTACTGATTTTATGCTGTTGTCGTTACTGCTTTAACTATCAGTTTCTGAACCAAAAATCGCAGACAGTTGGCTTGACCAAGAGTCAAGGTTTAGGAATGCAAAAGCAAATCCAAGGTACAGATGAGCTTCAGATGTGGACAGGCTTCACAGGGTTTAACAGGCTCTCCAGAGTTTGTCAGGTCACAGAGGCTTTTTTATTTTGGGGGGTGGGGTGGGGGTGCGCGCGCGCGTTCACTTGTGTTTTCTGTTTGCTTTAAACACAGCTGGCCTCAGCCACAGCTATCGGAATTCCTAGCAGCAGTCATTGCATGCAACAATTAACAAGAACTCACAACAATCTTCTCCGGTTTATTGTATGCCATTTACAAAAAAACAAAACAAATGAGAATGATCTTCTTAATACGCAATCCTTGATCACCCCCACGTGTTTCTAAACCAGCCAGATGTTCACAGTTTAAGAAGCCAAATAATACTATTACTTTTTTTGTGAACGTTAACGGTGAAAGAACAATAATAATGGTTTTAGTCAATCATCATTAGTACTTGAAAGTACAAATATAAATTAAATAAGACTCAAAAAACTTGTACAATAAAACCAGCTATAAACAAAGCTAATTAAAAAGAACTCTCAACCTGTGTTGTGGGTTTCTTCTTGTTTTAAAATTAAAAGCAGTATTTATTTTTCTGAAGCATCCAAGTGAATGTTCATAGCCAGATGTCCTTACAAGGAAACACGATCTTCATTCTTTCCTCATTTTTTAATCTGTTTATATTATATTTTACTTCCGATTGTCTTTTTCTTCCTTGGCAATCCTCTTTGTCACACCACTGAAATACTTCTCACGGAACGAATTGTGTCCCCTGTATGGCATGTATTGACCATCCAACAAGTAAGAATGCTGATCTTGATCCTGCATGGTATCAAAACGCAGACATTAGGGTTTAGGGTAGTGTGTTCAGCGGGCACTGCCATTCGTTGTCCTCCAGAACTTTCTGGACAACTACAAGCAGCAGTGAAGTTGTTTGGGTTTTGTTGGGAGGTTTTTTGGTTTGGTTTGGTTGGTTTTGGGTTCTGTTTGTTTGGTTTTTACAATTCAATGGCAAACATTTAAGTCATTAGATTGATTAAAGAATTTCAAAAATAGAACGCTAAGGTTTCCATTAGGATTAACAAGAACATTTACATCCTACTGCAAAGTCTTAACATTTAACAAAAATGAAAATCCATATGCAACGGATTTTCATTTGACACTGATGAAATGCAAGCTGTATGCAGCTGTATGCAGACAGGGGTTTTTTTTGGGTGGGGTGGTGGTTTTTTTGTTGTGGGTTTTGTTTTTTTTTTTTTCAATGTACTCATTCAAATTTTCATTATTCTACACCGTACAACAAAATGATACAAGTTGTCAGCAGCAGACATTTGAGGTTTTAATAGTGCTGCATCACTGGAAATATCTCAGCTAACATTACCAGAATCCAACCCTGGCACGAACAAATGAGAGCACAGGTACTATGCCATGTAGCCTTTTATAAAGGAAAACACAAAGATCACTTTCTGGAGAAAATATCACCTGGAGAATCCAATCACTCAGAGGTCTGTGGAAGGCAAATACAGACAGAGAAGGAGCACAAATAACTAAAATGAGTTCCTACAGATACCAAAGTGCTACCAGAGGATTTTTAGCTTGTGCAGGATTCATGTACTTCTGAAAGTTAAAGTTGACACAGTAAATCCCTACACAAAACACCTGTTTGACATCAGCTAAGGACAGAGTTTAGAAAACTGGCCCATTATATATACAAAGGTTTAGCTCCTGGTGTACTGTGGCTTCACACAATTAAGATACTTGTCAGCTATTGTTATCAATACAATAAACAATACATCACACTCTAACCTGAGCACTAAAGAAAACTGATGGCAACTTTAAAAAGCGTTTAACACTTATGGTAATGTCACTTCATTATGCTCCATAGCAGGATGGAACTGAGATAAACAGTCTCACACAGAACTGAGCTGTGCAAGGAAAAAATAAAAACAAGCATACAACAGAACTAAACCTCTGTTCCACTAAATGTGTTTCAATGCACAGAATCACAGGATGGTTTGGGTTGGAAGGGACCTTAAAGCCCATCTAGTTAAAACCCCCCTGCCATGGGCAGGGACACCTTCCACTAGGCCAGGTTGCTCAAAGCCTCGTCCAGTCTGGCCTCCTCGTTACTGTGATATTTTTCAGCGATGCAGCATACAGACTGGTTCACTACTTAAGTTTCAGTGCAGAGTTATTTGTTCATATTTGGAAACAAGGTCCCTGTTCAATGCTTTAGCGTAAGTAGTAGGAACACGGCAGTAGATTTAAGTCTGTATTTTCACACATTACAGAAGTATTGCAGTGCAAGGATGAACCGGATTGCAGTGGACAATCTTCCCCTCCAGCTATTTTGTAGCCTGTCCAGGCTTTCATCTAGCAAGATCATCACCTCATCTTGCTTTGGATATCCTAAAATGCATTCTAAAGGAGTGAAACAAAAGGTTTTCCAACACAGCGAGATGTTTGTGTGCATGTACAAGTGCCCTCTCCTGGACACCATGAGATATTCCTACGAAGCTAGGTAGGAATCCTAGCAGGTACCAGCAGAATGCTACTGGCTTAAAATTAACTTGCTAAATGTTAAGTGCTGTGTGGATATCTAACATGCAAGGCATGAACATCAGTAGCTGCAGGTTAGTTCCATTTAAATAATGCAGTATTGGAAAACAGCAGGAGAAAATGTCCTCTGTAAACCCACTGCAGACAGTACTACCTATTGTCTTTTGGTCACCTGTGAGAGACTGCTGTCTCCAAGATCATTCTCAGGCTGCAAATCAACAGGTTTTTAACATGTCCACAGGAAAAAATAAAATACTACTGGTAGACAGGAAACAAGGAGGATTTAAGAAATGCTCCTCTCATAGCCAGCCTTTACCCACTTCTCCAGGTCTCTTATACAGGACCACTCTGATGAAAAGAGCCAAATTCAGAGCCTCTCCCTGAATTTGCAGGCCAGTAATCCTTCTTTGACCTAAACACAGAGCATATTCTTATACCTTTGGGGTGTGTTTTAATGACAAATCTACATAATCTGCTTGATTCGAGAAATGGGTGGGATATTTGACCCTGAAGGATAATGATATATGGGTCAACAGTGTTTTAACATAAAAATTAAGCCCTACGGCCTCTAAGAGGTCACACATCTGTACACCATTCATCTTGATTCCTTAAGTAACAAAATGCTGATTCAGGGTGAAGGGAGGAAGAAAGAAAGGAAGTACCCCCTCTACCCCCAAGCTGGTTAGGGCAGAGAGAGGATATGACATGCCAGAGCACAAACTTCAAGTTAAACACAGCTGTACGAGGAGCATCTGCATTCATCCAATGGAAAGAGGCTTGGTGCATCCTTCCACACCAGAGTCCATCTTGTACATCCACGCCTCATCAAACGCTGTGCCAATCATTGCTTGCTAGATGAGAGATCTGCACTCAGGCACGGGCTTCTTGGGAGACCTTACAGAGGACCGTTCTGGCCCACATCACAATAATTCCAGCTTACGAGCTCCCATTCTCTACCTCTCCCCCGTACAGACATGACCCCTCAGGAAAGACAGTAATTGCTCTGAATAAAAAAAGAACAATTTGGGAATTGCTTCTTAAAAAGGGGGAAAAGAAAATAAGAAACCCTGAGTTACCTGGAGATGCCACTCAATCCTGACGTTTACTAGTCAAAACAGTTCAATTAGCAACATGAGAACTGATCAAAGTACAAGGAATTCTTGGATTTCAGAGACTAATGATTTCTGAACGAATTCTAACTCAGGATATTTTATACCTACACAAGGAGCTCAATGGGTACAATCTGAACACTAGGGATAGGCTGCATTTCACTCTACAGAACTTGTCAAAAATCACCTCCATAAAACAATTTGTTGTCACTATTTGCTCTAGAATTTGCCTGGGCAACAGGCACCAGCTTGTTTCAGTAAAGCAGTCAAAGCAGCCAGCCAATCACCCTCTGTTCAGCTCCACCAGGAGTAGCATCAATTGGCAGAATATGCACCCGAAGCATTGGGTAGGAACGTTTTGCAGTAAGAGAAGGTCTCTTATGAAGGGTGGCAGTGACAACTCTCCCTCCAGTGCATTAACTGTCCAGCGCAGTTCATACGAATGGGGTTTTCTTCCTTTTCTCTGCTTTTTTTATTAAAAAAAAAAAAAAAAAAACACACCCAAAACACAAACCAACAAAAAACCCACGAACTCCCTTCCCAACAACCTTTAAATTCAGGGAATGAATGGTATTGGATCACAGTGTTTTGAGGGAGACAGTCTTTTCCTTCTCTTAACGTGACACACTGGAAGAGCAGTAAGAAGCACTGCTTGTGATACACAGCTGCATCTAGGGGTGAGGAGCTTCTTCCATTTATTTCCTTTGAAACAAGTGTACATAGTTTTCAAGGCATAAAGTCTGTGCTGGATTATTCAACACAAAACTGTGAGACCGCCCAAGAAACTCTTTGCAAGACCCATCAGCCTACTTGGCGTTAAGTCAGCTCTTTCTCCAGTCTGCCAGCACTACCAAGAAGACAAAAGATTTCTCCCTTTATCTGTAAAAGTCAGAACTGAAGATGGTGTTTAATCCCTGGTCATTCTTTATCATCATCCTTGGTTCTCACTTCGAATTAATAAGTTCTGACAACAGCAAACTAATTGCAAACAACAGTTATCACATAAAACTTTTGCTCTGAAATTTTTTCCGATGGCTTCTGTGACAACTGAAAACCAACACCTCTCTTGTCAAAAGTCCATTCCATCAAACTGCATTTAGCTAATTTGAGTCTTAAACACAGCACCTACTTGTTCAATAGACAAGACTAAAAAAAGGTGTTACAGATCTCTAATAAAAAACAAAAGAGGTTGAAGAAAGAGCAGGAAGCTTAAAGATAACAAGAAAGATTTGTTTTTCTTTAAACGTTGGCAAATATTAAGTGAAATTCTAAAGGTTTTTATGTCTCCAGCATGCCTCAGTTCAGCCTCAGGGTAATTACCCACATTCAGGTTTTGTTTAAAAACTGAAAAACCCAATCTTTCTCGTCTTATCACATCTTCCTACCACTCCACATCTGGTGCTGGACAGTAGCTACAGAAACCACTCGTACTAACGTTACACAGCTATAAACAACGCTGAGCGGTTTCCAAATCAGGGACAACAGGGTCATATCCAGGAACAGACACTGCTAAATGCAGTAGGAAAAATTCTACACCAGTAACAACTCTGGAGTGACCGTGTGATGTGGAAACACGGGACAAATTCAGCGTGACAGATTTGTATGCCTGATGCTCCAGAGTCCTTTCATGGGCAGTCATATTCTCAGAGTTCCTCCTTCAGTCAAATTTTCCGTTTCAGCTAGCTACGTTATTTTTAACCGTTTCTGTTGGCTTTTGTCAATGACAGATGTCTCTTCCAGTATTTTTTTTTTTTAAGTATTTCTGATCAGAAGCTTCAGAATTAGGTAGCACTTACCAGCCAAATAGATACCACATATTTCGGTAAGACAGCCAGCAGAGGAATGAAACAAGTAATTTGGCAATAGCTGAAGTAATTCAGCACAGGGAAATCAACAAGAAAACAGAAAGCTAGGCACACTGTTGTCAAGAAAGGGAACAAACAACAACACTACAGTTAAACAAACACTGTTAGCAAGTCCACGCCTTCTGAAAATAGTTGGTTGATCACCAGATACAGATTCCCGAGAACCCTTGTGGTAATAATGCTGTAAGTGTTTATACTCCAATTCTCCTACTGACTAACCACCTACCGGTTATCTGACATTTAAATAAAAAATAATGATGGCATTCAGGTATAGGTGGCATAGACTGAGATATTTCAGTTGTACATTGCTATACTTTTTAAGGCTTTTGAAAAGTAAACTGGCACAATGGAAGGTACATTTTCACTCGATTCAGGCTGGGACAATTGCTTCAAACCTTCTCTGACCTAAGTAGAAGACTGAACCCTTATTGGATCACAGTCGACAGACATTACAACACAAACCCACTTGGCCAACAGCTCCTCATTCCTCCACTATCACTGTATTTCAGTTCTTATGTACAGATGCCACCGTCTTTGGAGAGCTGAACTTGTGTTTTCACTGCTTCAAAAAGAGCTCCCCTCACAGTTCAAGGAGGGTAGACTTCCACACAGTCCTGCCTGCTCCAACATCAGTTAGAAAGTTTTATTTCAGGTTTAGAGAGATACTGGGGAGATCCACATCCATTCAGTACCAGAAAGAGGGGCACTCATGTCCATAGAAAAAAGGAATACATCAGGTTAGTAAGCTCCCACCTCCTGTCACAGAATGGTTTGGGTTGGAAGGGACCTCAAAGCCCATCTAGTTCCACCCCCCCTGCCATGGGCAGGGACCCCTTCCACTAGACCAGGTTGCTCAAAGCCTCATCCAGCCTGGCCTTCAACACTTCCAGGGATGGGGCATCCACAGCTTCTCTGGGGAACCTGTTCCAGTGCCTCACCACCCTCTCCGGGAAGAACTTCTTCCTGATACCCAATCTGAACCTTCCCGCGTTCAATTTAAACCCGTTACCCCTTGTCCTGTCACTACAGGCCCTTGTAAAAAGTCCCCCCCAGCTTCCTTGTAGCCCCTTCAGGTACTGGAAGGCTGCAATGAGGTCTCCCCGGAGCCTTCTCTTCTCCAGGCTGAACAAGCCCAACTCTCTCAGCCTGTCCCCATAGCAGAGGTGCTCCAGCCCTCTGATCATCTTCGTGGCCCTCCTCTGGACTCGCTCCAAGTGGTCAATATCCTTCTGATGTTGAGGGCTCCACAGCTGGACGCAGCACTCCAGGTGGGGTCTCACAAGAGCAGAGTAGAGGGGGAGAATCACCTCCCTCTTCACTTCTCCAATTCTGCCCTCAGAGTTTTAGAAGACTAGAAGTTGCTCGCTGGCTACTGCTAGCTGCCCTCTACAAAAGCTGCCTTTGTTCGCTTTTATTACCATCACTATAACTCGAGACTGGGGAGAAGGGGAGTTACTAATGACCACCTTGGCTGTCCAAAAAAAAAAAAAAAAAAAAAAAAACCTAACATTGGGGTCTCACAAGAGCAGAGTAGAGGGGGAGAATACCCAAACAAGTCTTCTGCTCATATTGAGCACATGGCTGGAAAAGTCTATTCGCATCAACGCTGCGTTCAGTTAAAAAAAAAAAATCTATTCCAGTTGGCACCATTTCCCCATAAACTTCAGCAGAACAGACTGGATGCTTACAAGACAGTGAGTTATATACCACAATTTGTGACGTTTTTAATCCAACATTCATGATCTTCATGCTTATGATTAATCACAATAGATCAATACCTCTACCAGACACACTCACTTTTTACATTCCCTTTGGTCTCCTTTATATTACAAGCACAATCAAACTGCACCACCAATTCCACGCTCAGTAACTGACTGATTTCATCTCTAGTTAAGAGTTTAGAGTGATAATAGTGAAATTGAATTTGCTGTGAAATCTGCAATTCATTATTGCTGGCAAACACTGGGGAAACCGAAGGACTGCATAACGACACTACATGATTTGTAAAACTTCTTAGCCACTTGCGAGTACTACGCTCAGCTGAATTAAAAGGCATTTGTGAGTGCCTGCTACAACCAGTTCAGTAAAGCAGACAGAAACTGTCTGGAAACATAAATGCCTGTATATTCATAAAAATTCACTCTTTCATTTGAGAGAAAGAAAAACAGCCAAAGCTCCAACTACCGAATTTTATGCTCGTATCTGGTGAGTCAGAACTATCCAATTCAAAGGTTATCCAAGTTATTAAGATGGGAAAAAACACGTCCTAGCTCAGGGACATTGTGCGGGGGGGAGAAATCTTAGACACCAAACAACAAGACCCTAAGCCAAGCAGGCACTAGCTAAGGAGGCAATATGTATTTTGTTATTTGGACAGGTTTTGCGCCATCAGAAACAGTTCAGGGGTCCCAGTATCTTTAAATTATCTAATAGACATCTGGAGTCCTGAGCGTAAGCACCTGCAGAGTTTTATCTAAGCAGTAAGCCTGCCAGCTAGACTCAGGTGCTCAGAGTTAAGCATTTCCAGACCTGAACCTGTCAAAAGGAGGTACTGAAGAACAGGTGATGAACAAAGCAACAAATGATGAGAATCTTTTCCCAGAAGGTTGGATACATTTTTTAAATTAGAACACGTTATCCCTCAGCACTGGCAGCAATAAACCTCCTGCAGAAAACCTCCACGAATACCCCAAGACATACATGTCAAAAACTTTCATAATTTACCCTCTTTGCTACCGGTGAAGTTAGCAGCTATGGCTCTGAACTCCACATACAGCCTTTTAAGACAATTCAGGTGTTGCTTGAGAATCTTGGCCGTCATTAGCTTTATGAACGCAGTGCTGAAACCCTGCTGTGTTATTAGTGCAAGCACCATGCAGGCACAGCAGTCTGACTGTATCTCCTGTGGTTTAAAACAGCTCTTCCAACTGACAAGGAACGTACTAAAACCACTTGCTTATCGCCTGTGTGTGTCTTCATCAAGGATTTGCTTCACCTTTGTTCAGCATCTCTTTTAACAGCATTAGGTGAGAGAAGCAGCAAGAATGGGAAGGAGACCTGAATGCAATATTCCCAAGTCTCAATGCCTCAGGAGAGGCACTTAGCATATCCCAAAACAAAAAACAAGCCAATGTGCTTCACTGTACTTATGTCACAGCTCCAAAATTATTTCAAAAGCTAGAAGTGTACCACTCTAAAAATGAAGTAACAGAATTGAATATGTTTTACCCATACTGCAAGGCCCACAAAGGCACTTGGGCACCAAATTACACTTTAGAATCAATGGGAACTTAGGCATCTCTGTAGATGGGATTCAGAGTTCAGTTTTCCAAGAAAAGCATATGCAACTTTCACAAGTAACTGTAAGTTCAAAGATCAATTTCACACTACTAAGCAGCTCGCTCAGGATGAAAAGTATATCAAAACTGAGGAAAAAAAAAAGAAAAGACCAGAACGGTCCCTTAAATCATCACCTGATTTATTTTAAAGAATTTGTGGGAATTTTACAAAAGCTCCAATTCTCATCATAAAAAAAACTCATGTGATAGAAATAAGGATCAAATGCTGAATAGCACAAACTTCTCATTAACGCAATAGCCACTATGTTACACAGTATCATCAAGAACTCAAGCTTACCTTGAATTCTTTCACCTTTTCCATGGTTATCAGGCGCCTTGATGTGTGGCTGGAAAGCATCTGCTCACAGTTGCTAATCAGTCTCAGGCACGGGTGGCGGGGAATGATCTCTTCTGTATATCTGGAAGAAATAAACATTCATACAGCTGTGAGCTCATGAACTGGAAAACCTGCATCTGAAACAAAATTCATACAGATTTTTCACAAAATGGCTTGCACTAGAAAGTTGCTATACATTTTAATCTGATTAAACAAATTCAGGTATTGGTGCTCTGCAGTTCTTATATCATATATTCCAATCATCTTGTGACAGAAAATGTGTAGAATAAATTAAAGCCTCACCATAAAGAGACACACACACACATTTTCTACATGTATTTACGTGATGTTGATGTATGCACACAGGCCTGCCTGTATAATTTCAAGTAGAAAATCTCTCAGCCAATCAGGCGTAATAAGTTATCCCATCAGGGGCTGTGATTTTACAAATGTATTCCACAGTCAACACATATAAAGTTGCAGGAACAAGAGACTTAACTCTGGCTCCCTAAAAGGAGACCATTAGACTTCAATTCCATATCGAATTAAACCAGCTCTGTGTGTTACAAATGTACCACGTCACAATTACTTTTTCTAAAGGAAAGAAAAAAACCCCATCCGTGATCTTTTAACTTCAGACGGTAGCAACACTGGATCGCAGTTAAATCCTGGCTACAGAAGCAAGCAGATACAGTGTTTTAAGTGCCTCCATCTCATAAGCATACTATTTTCTACTGAAACAGCTTACTCTAGATTGCTTTCAATCCCTCTCTTTCTCCAAATGCTGGAAAGGGAATTTAAGGATTTCAGAGCTTTGCACTGGACTACAGGAGCAATAAGCATTAACCTAGCTAATACGATAAATATCAGATCAGACATCCTTCCTATACACCGAAATACAGATCAGCCATTTAGTCTTAGTTTTTGTAGGAAGTTTTCCTGTGATAGTTACTACAACGTAACACAGAAAACGGTATATGGTGCTGGCAGTGACTGTGATTTCATATAAAATGCTTGCTCTCGTGATCCCCCAATGCTTGGGGGTCAACACAAGACAGACATTAAGAAGCAGAACTAGAAAACTTTCACTCCTATCACTAGACTTAAGAGATACAAAGGAGGAGCTTCATATTTTTCCTGTAAAAATGTGTATTTTCTGAAAGCACCTTACAAAGTAAATGTATAGTTCTGGGAGAAAGAGAAGTCAAATGCAACACAACTCAAAATAATACCCATCTAGGTGCTGATGGGAATCTTGACATTTCTTAAAGACAACAGTGAGCTGTTAAACAAGTAAGACAACACCAAATACAGACTTGTACATAGGAAAAAAACCCCACAGTGCTGCCTCTCTGCATTGTTCCAAAACTGCCAGGTTGCAAAACCACCTTTCAGTCACTTCTCATGTGAAATCATTACTTCTGCTATGTGTAGTCAGAACATGCTTTTTACAAAATAGAATCAAATAAATTCCCAACTAGTTTTTTTTTTTCTATTACACAATACTTTTGATGCATCCAGTACCACCAGACTGCCTCACTCTTACAAAGGTAGGCACTCTGCCACATCATCCTAAAAGTTTCTCTTCATAACCATATAAAAGCCTGACTGCAAAGGAATTAAAAGAATTCAGACTGAACAATGATTTCAATGTCAGATTGAAAGAGTAAACTTGGGAGTGAGATGCTATCTAGCAGAGGGAGAGATCACTATCGCTTTGTTAAAAAGCCTTGTCTGTTAGCATCAACGCATATACTTCTACATTCTTTCAGGTAAAACTCAGAACATTATCAAATACGAAATACAGTACCGGCGATTTTAACAGACATCCATTTTAATCCAGTTTTGGTTTTAATTTGAGGTAATACACAAGGATCTCAAATAACACCTGAACCTGATGGCAGGTGTTGCCAAGGGATATCTGACAGCATAACATGTTAGTAGACAGTACTTTATCTTCCCCCCACATACTTGGCTTTAATGTTTGTTCCCGTGTTCATCATTACAGCTGAAAACAGTGACTGTACTAATATTCTGTGCTAACAGCATGACTTCAGTATTTCAACTTTCATTGCATTAAATCAATTCACAGTAGTACATACAAGTTTACTTTTTAAAGAAGCGACTCAGCTGGAGGTTGAGAGAGCTGACCTCCCCAAAACAGCAAACAGAGTAGAACCAGACTGTGGAGTTCACAGTCACCTGAAGTCAAACGCTTTATACTGCTGTACTGAGGAGACACGCTATCACCAGTGTTCAATGACCACACAAAAATCTCTGGTATCCTGACAAACAGAATAAACTCAGAAATTCCAGTTTATCGACATGGAAATCTGAAATTTACAACCAAACATGGTCTGTCGGGGTTACATGTGTATAGACAGATGTTTTGAAAAATTAGCTGCAATACTGTTAATGGCATTCATTATTTTGCTTGTGAATAGTCTTACAAAAAAAAAAAAAAGCCTAAGCTACCGATTTTATTAAAAAAAAACCCGCAAGCTACTAAGTGCACTCTTCTGCTAGGGAAACATGAAACAGAAACGGCTCCTTTTGATTTCCAAATTTTCAAAATGAACGTGATAATTAAATGTAGAACTGTCAGTAGCTATTTCCATGGTGAAACCAGGGACAACCACCACTTTGTGTATCCGTATAGTTTGACTGTACATAGAAACATAGGACATTTTAGAAGCTACCTTCAGAGCACATCCACACCTGGAAGATACTCAGAAACAGCTACTGTATATCAACTCTCCTCTTTACTATACAAGTTTTGAAAACAAACCAACCCTTAAAAACTTCTCAGAGATGCTGAAGTAAGGTATGCAAAGAGATGTCTTTCCTTTTACAACACCGTTCTAATCCCAAGCACTGCATCCCGCAGTCTCTACTGGCAGCCCTCAGCCTAGCAGGCCGCTCCCCTACGCTTCCTGCCTCTCACTGCCATCTCTTGGTCACTTGACTTCTGATTTCTCAGAAGAAAGCTAAATTAGTAGTACCAAACCCCAAAGAGCCAAGAACGCCCTGTCATGCATCTCTATCAACTACTCGTAGAAGCACCTATTAGTAAGATCCTTGCCACTACTATCTTAGAAATCTATCTGCAGTTTGAAAGTCTAATTTTCTCAGCTTAAACCTCAACCCACTGAACATGCATTTGCAAGGACACGTGAAGGTTTTCTTCTTTATGGTAATAGTCAGGAATTGCCTCCATCCAAAAACCTTATTTCCAAATCTGCTTTCCCTCACATAAAGTTTTAAAATATGCAGTCTGGGCATGACATATAAGTGCTAGTACTGTGGAAGAAGTACCAGCCGTCCTATGCCCCACATGAAAGCACAGTAAGAACGTCGCATCCACTCTGACCTACTACATAGCAGAAATCAAGGATACATACTCAGGCCTGTATATCGGCAGCCAGTACACTAATCTTCCTCCCATCACCAGATATTCTGCCGCAAACTTCAGGAGGTCAAAAAAGATGTCACTTAGATGATAACTGGATGAAACGAAGATGTGATTTTCTGTGCTAAACAGAAAATTTACAAGTTAAAAGCACAGATAAAGCCTGCATTTTTAATTTTTTTTTTTTTTTTTTTTTTTTAACTCCACACCAAACCAAAGATTTGCAAAACTACCTAGGACAATCCAGGAGCACAACTTCTACTGTAAGAAATACAAGACTTCCCAAATTCCCCCTTCCCAAATTCCCCTGGAAGTCAAAGAATCACAAGCACGTTGGGAATAGTTATTTCGCACAAAATCTTTGTTAAGGGCAATTTAGAGTAAAAGGCAGAAGACAACGAAGGCTGGGCAGTTGAGAAGCCATGTGTTATCTCTGAAGAGAAAGGAAATCCAACAGAGCAGGTTAAAGGAGAACAGAGGTATTTCATTTTAGACTGATTTTGCAGCTTGCAGGGACTGAAAAGAACTTTCTGAGAATAGCAAACACAAGGGAATGGTGACTCACAGAGACAAGAAAAAGGATGTGAAATCTGAACGCATGCAAATGATAAGCAGGGAGAATAAAAACAAGAGGATTTCAGGAAGTGACATACTAGTTTTGCAAAGGGCTTTTCTTCTTTAATTATTATTACTACCATTTTTTTAACTGCTGAGAGCCAACCAAGAAATAAAGATTCTAAAACTGTGACGGGGTTTCCATTGAGACAGTTGTATTCTACATCAGACGAGACAGCTTACCTACCTTCTTTCAGCTGACTTAACTGTTTCCTTTTGTGAACCCGTTCTGCGAGTAGCTTCTCTGATACCGTACGGTGCTACACAAAGCAAATGCACAGACAGAGTTGAGAAGGTCACCCTTACTCCAAATAACATACAGTTATATCCTACGTACACATCAGTGCACGAACTGTTGCTTATACAAAGTTAAAAACCAGGAAAGCTTTTACAAAGCAAAAGCTGGTAAGGGTAATTCCTTTAAGACCTATTAAAAGTTTCTTGCTCCAAATGTGACTTTAACACTGTTTCAAAGAAAGCCCTTCAGCTATAAGAGGCTTCTTGCAGCCTAGACATTTGCTGCACTACAAAGGACAATGCTTTTCTGTTTTATTCATTAGAAGATATTCCTTACCACTTCGATGTCCGACAATCCCATCCTCCTTTCTTTGACAGACATAAACAACTCCTCTACAGCACTTGGCTAACCTTTTGCAAAATGAAATTGTATATATTGCCAACACATTACACAAATGGTAGTTCTCGCACAAGCAGATAAGATGAGCCAGAGGTGGCTTTTTCTCATACATATTTGCATATTTCTAGTAACATAACATATCTATTTTAAGTTCAACACATTCATTTTTGTGAGACTTGTTTCTGCATCATGGAAGCACCAATATCACTATTTCGTAAATGCAGAAGTTGTAGAATATTAATATGACTCAGATCTGAGTTTGCAAATTGTGTCACATTATATTAGAATATTAATTATATTAATATTCTATTAATATCCATTCTAATATTAATTATATTAGAATATTTGTCTTATTGCCAAACAGGCCAAATAAAAATTAGCAGGCAACCCACAAAGAAAAGTCACACTCCCTGTTCCTAATTAATATGAATGTGTCATCATAAGAGCCAGCACTAAGGATCAGAAATTGCTGTATCAAGGTCTTTTATTTATTCCCTTAGCCTCTACCCCCTCTGATGCATGACAAATGGTGCTAAGTACATACATTTCTAAAAAAGCAAAAGATCCTTTCAAACGGTTAGTGCTTCTAGTAGTTAAGTGTATCAGAAACACATTAAAAAGTCTCGTTGGAAGCATTCCAGCAGCACTTAACCTCGGTCTCCAGAAGTCCACCAGAGCTGCGTGGCAGACTCCAGTGCATTGCAGATCAAGCCCTAACGGCAGCATGGACCACTGTGGTAAGAAGCCCCCATGCAGCAACAAAGTTACGCCCCTACTGAATGAGACTTCTTCGAGGGACAATTTTCAGCCATACAGATTTCCGCTGGCAAACATAATATCCCCTCCATGGGAGAAAGCACTAGTGCTGGCTTTGTTACACATTCGTAACTATCCTTAGAATAAATGCAGAGATGTCAAATGCAGGTGCAATTTCCACAGTGCTGCTCTCAACAGTCATCTTTTGCAACTTGGAAACTGCAGACCCGAGTGCTCATCACGACAAGAAATCAGCATGCATAGGCACAGACACAGGCAATTACCTTTCAGTCATTGTTATTAGGCAACAAAAAGCATTAACGAACTTACGATCTGTAATGATTGCATCAAAGAGCATCCCTTTTCGCCATATTGGTCTTGAGGAATCAGAAACTAGCGCATCGAGGTAGTATTTCTCTAAACCATACTGTCGGAGATTCGCTCTGATATTTTCATCTGGCCCTCTCCATTTCTGGTTCTTTCTGCTTGCCTTGCCTGGGGACACAGAATGGAAAAAAAAAAGCATACTCAACAACAAACTGCTTCATAGGAAAAGCTTTCATATACCCTACCATTTATTTTAAAGAATTAAATGTCACGTACAAACCCAGAGTTTATCTCCTGTCTCATTCTATTCACTCACAAGTATTTGCGATAAACTTCACAAGTAGCAAGAAATAACGAAAATACATATGAAAAGTTCTGCTGCACCACCTGCACAGGGTGTCACAGAACACCTCTATAAAAACGCTGGTTTGTAACGTGTTCTTACTATCCGTCAGACATAAGCCTGTCCAATAAATCAGGTACAATTTGCACTGCCGTTTTTCAGAGAATTAAGAATGGGATTAGGCATCCTGGGTCAGGTTACGAGAAGCTTCCTACATCACAGGCTAAGAAAGAACACAGCCACTGGAATTATCATTCAGAACCTTGTTTTGGTTTTCATTATTCCTTTTATTAAATATTTCCTGCTTTAAAAAAAATAAGAGAATAGCTTTGCTGGGATACATGTAAAATGGTCAATAGAAATAAGCATGACCAAATAAATCCTGTGAAGATTAATATTGCTGTAAAATCCACTATCATCTGCTACCATCAGTATTCCTTAATTGCAGAGAGTAAGTTTTCAGTGGCTTAGAAACATGGAACGTACCTAATCCATGGATTGTGTTGTAATCTATATCAGTGCCACACACGTATGCTCCAAAGTGTGCTGAGGAGATGAGAAGGCCACCTATAAGGGGAAGAAGAGGGGAAAACCATAAAGTGCCATCATAAATGTTACCTGGGTGAGGATTTTTTGCTCAGGAACTTCAGGAATTTACACCTGTAGCACACTAGACCCAAAGCTAGACCCAAGAAAAAGAAAAAAAAGAAAGAAAAAGAATTAAAACCACCATCAGTTAGAATCACTATGCAACTATAAACAGTAACATTTAGGTCCCGTGTCTGCTCTACCTGACCTTCCTTATCTTGCTATGCCCCGTGTCACACCTTATCTCTGGAGACTGCTCTTAGGAGTTTGCTTATGGTTTTCTGTATTTCAAGGCAGTAAGATCCTTTCGTCATTACATGAACCAAAACTTTTAGTTCTACTTTGCAAGCAGCAGAATTTCTAATTGTTGGCAAGCAAACTGAAAAACGATCACCAAAGGAAGGGCAATCCTACTGTGTCTGTTCCCAAAGTCATTCTCCTGAACTGTCTCTAAAATCAAACTTGTCTAATATGGCCATTCCCTGAGTAAGAAGCCATAGTCAAGAACCTTGTAAATGTAAATATCTCCAATGTAAACAGCAGTATCAAAAAAAAGTTCCTGTAATTGTTTTGCAGTGTGAAAACTACACACAGATGCTTTTTTCTGTGAGTATGCTGGCTATTTTGTCAGTACATTCATTCGTGTGCTCATCCTGCAATAAAACTAGGGTTTTTTAAACATTACTACTGTGATCTGCTTTCCTAATTAAAGGAAAACAAACCCTAGCGAAGAAGCATGTGTGATTCCCATTTGAAACCAAGCAATGGTTGAATAACCCACAGAAATGAGCAAACATTCTCTTTAACAGCTTCCAAATGAAAAAAAAGGACAGACAGCAGAAGACTTCCCAAGAGCTGTGCTGTCTCCTCAATAAGGAGGTATGTAGCTAAGCCTAAATGGTTTAAAACGGAACAGCGACCAAGAACAAGGCTGCGAACCCCACACTACTGACGTCAACTGCTTACGGATATAAACAGTCCTGCTCAAGCCAAGGGGATGATGGCTGCAGGACGAAGCGTTGACCAGCACAGGGAATGGCGCCCAAGCCGGCTGTGCGGGTGACACCAGTTCTCCCCTCAGGGAACGGTGCCCAAGCTGGCTGTGCGGGTGACACCAGTTCTCCCGTTCACTGGCAGTGTGGAAAGAGGCATCTCAGGTGGCTGCGCTGCCCCACACGACCCACTCAGCACCAACAAATCCCTAACACGTACTGTGTGCGCAGGCTAGGGATCCCGTCTCAGGGCACTAGAAAGCTCCTACATCATGTGCTAATGAACTCTACCAAAACTGAAGGTGAGGGAGAAAAGAAAAAAAAAAAAATCCTCTGCTTGCTCAGGTGAAATGGATCAGGGAAAAGCAAGGTTACTCACCCCAGAGGAGTCACCCATTTCCCTTCTCGGCTGCAATCCCTCAGAACAGATGGGCAGTACCTCCAGAGGGTCAAGACAAATTTAGCTAGCCCTGACCCCAAGTATGGCATACCACCTAGTCCTATAAAAAAAGTAAGAAGAAAGTACTTTGCCCATCTAAGAATGTTTTTAATCACGGGGAGGGGGGAAGTTAAGAAAACATGAACTTACAGCTTTTAATAAATCTCAGCTAGTACTAACTCAATCGTGTTCACACAGAAGGTGCATGAATACTTAAATACTCTACTATGGCCAGCCCTTTGATCTACTGTATCAAACAGGTGTATGCAAAGGGTTAATCAGAGAATCACTGTGCCCCCTGATGACTGTTAGCAGACTGATGATGGTACAGAACTTCATGACTGTCTATCGTTCCCTGTTTTCCCCCATCTCTTTAGCACAGATGAGGGTCTGGTTGTACCACTATCCTCCAGGATGTCCATGAAAAAATTCATGTCATTTAGCAATTACGCAACATTACGAACTGGCAAAGGAAAAGCAGGGACAAACACCTTCCAAAGGCACAATCACTAAGCTTACCGAGATAATCAGAGCAGATTGCCTAGGAGGAAGAACAAAGTATCCAGGTAGATGACTTGATTTACTCTTCCAGAAACCTCCAGGCTTCCTTCTGCCCAACACTGAGGAAAGCGTACCTAAACAGTTTATGGAAGTTACATCCTACAACTCCCAAACACGGCCATTCCAATTTTGCTTTATAAAAAAGGGGAATCAACTCTCTTAAACCATACTAGTCAAAAGCACTTTTCATTCCAAGGTCAAATTCCAATTGTCCACTCTTACACCAATGTGGAAGACTTGCGATTTGGCTCACCCAGCAAAACCAGTTTCCAACAAGCAAGCACTATTTTGCAAGGCCGTTCTAATCTGGTACTATTTAATCTTTTCAGCATGAAAAACAGGAAGAAACCAAGCCAGGCATTAAAGTTGCACCAATAAAGAAATCTGTACAGCAATTTTGTCAACGTATGCCTCAAATCCTGATCGTACGTTCTCCCAACTCAAACCCACTGCATCACTCCCAACTCTGAGCTACCTCCCAAAATTCCAGTGGCAGAGCACTTGTTGCACAGACAACCTTGAAAATCCTCTAAAGGACCTCAAGAGAGACTAATGAAATTCCTGGGGTTTATTCACCAAAAGTGGGTGCAAAAGCCGCTGTTTAGTCATAAATACACATTTACTGACAAATGGTGTGCCACCCAGCATCTTCCATGTCCCTGTGTCCCTTTACCCTCAAGCCTGTGTATTACAGCTGCCTATGCAATAAACCCATAAAAATTGCAATTCAAATCATTAGGCAATTTGGGAAGAACTTTGCATGTTACACTTTTGAACTGAAACATGACTTAACATTTATCTTGAATTTCTACAGCTTCGCCACTTCTATGTGATTTTTCTTCCTCTAACTTTAACCTTCCTTTATTTTTTCCTACAATTTTCACTCCCAAGACAACAAATGCTCTCAGAGAATTTTTCTGTGATATAGGCTCAGCAGATTTTTGTAAAAAGACATAGAACCGTAGACACCAAAACAAAACAAACTGCTCAGAGATGAAGTAGAAGAATTTCCTCAACCTTTCAAAGAGTACTAACCATCTGCAAGGAACACAGGCACATGGAGGAACAAGAAATTTCAGAAGACATTATTATGTATGCACAAAAAAAAAAAAAAAAATCAGGTCATATATGAAGAAAAATTTAAGACAAAACCATGTATTTCACTGAAGCCTGGTGCTTCTGAAAATGTTTTATCCCTGGTTGGTCTTCTATGGTACAGGGAAACCACAAGCTAATACGAATTTGCCCTACTAGTGACTCTGTAGTGTTGTCTTCTCTCCTGCTAACTTCTCTGCAGTGATTTCTGCAGAGACTTCTCTTCATCTTCCCGTTAATGTAAGTATTTTTAATCGTATGCATCTCAAATGTGGTCTCCTTGATCAAAGCTTAGCAAAATCTAGGTCAGAAACACAGCCTTTCTTATGCTTTTGAAGAAACTACTATAGGTATCTTAACACAACATGCTCTGGTATGATTAAATGGCACAACCTGACACAATAGATCTTTTTCACCTACAGAAGAGCCGAGTTTCCCTTCGGTAAAAATGATTAGTATGCCACACATAGTAATATGTGGAATAAAAGCTCCCCCTCCTGGCTTAACTATGAAAAGTTCAGCTGGAGGCAAAAGCACCGTGGGAACAGTATTATCCCAAAGACAAGACATGATGGTACAAGGAACTGGTCACTGCTGAATGCTATGACCTACTGCTATGTTGTGTTATACACCCAGAAATGCCCTCGGCACTCCTCTGAATAGCCACCTCCAAAAATGCTGCTCCTTGTAAACATTCTGAAAGTGGCTGCAGGGAATGGTCTGGCCAGATTTCAGTTCTTAGTCACTCTGGATCTTAACCAGTACCTGACACACATGAACTGGTGTTTAAGCCACGTTACATAAAAATAATGCAGTGAAGACTTGTCAGAAGTGTAAAGTAAACTGTTTACATCTTCTGAAGTAAGTGTCCTTCCCCCAAAATCCCTCAACAAAACATCATTTTGCTTTTGGTACCATCTCAAACCTCACCCAAGCACCAGAAGCCACGGCGCCAGGTAACAGCGTGCTGCGCGCAGTAACACAGTCTCCCAGCGTTTCCCATCAGTAGGAAAAAAAGTATAGTGATACCTGTTCCAACAAATGGATCATATACAACATCATTGGGTTTTACTCTTCCATGGTTAGCCATAATGAAAGACAGGCAGGCGTCCATGCTGGTATTTCCAATGAAGTGTCTCTTTTTTACACTGTAGGACTCAATAAGTTCTCTTTGGCCATCGGCAATCTGTTGAAACATTTAAAATCACTGTCAGGTCTCAGATACAGGATAAAGCACACAGGTTAACAGACTTGCTAAAGTGACACCATCCAACAAACAGGAAACTCTTCATTTCACGACACATCACTTCGCTTTCTGCCGTCTGAAAACACACCACATTTCTTTCCAAGCAGCAGACATCTTGGTTCAACACCTAAATAAATTCTTCTAGGCAGAGGTCAAAAATATACAAACAGTTTAGAAGGAAATTTTTTCTGAAGAAGTAACAATTAGAGCAACTTTGCTACTATTCTAGGTATCAAAAAAACAATTCAGAGCTAAAAGAATTTCAAAATGACGAGGAGTGCAAGTGCGTGTTAACACATGCGTGCACATACACGTGCACATCCTTAAGGTTACACAGAATTTCCATCTTCACTGGCTTTTCTGTCACCCTCAAAATCTAAATTTAGGCTAGCACTTACAGATCAGAATTTACTGGAAAAACAAAGAAAGACCAAATGCTAGCATTTTTACATCAGGCTTCCAAAATACGTTGAAGAGGACCAAAGCACTCTAAAAGAAAACAAATTCAAAAGCTCTTCCAACACTATCCCCCAGCTCTGGCCAACATCAGTCTTCCTGGGTAAACAAAATGCACTTGCCTGTTTTTTTCAGGCTGGTTTATTCGTTTTTAAACACTTCAGGAATCCAGCACAGATGGGAAAACAGTTGCAATGTTTTGCAGTATTGTCACAACCCAGGGTGCTTTCACATTGATCACAGGCATGAGGAATATTCACAGGTGCTGAAAGATCACTTGGATCTCTCACTTCTCTGTGCACAGCCCCTGACCAGATCTGTACAACCTCAGCAGAGGTTCTACCTCCTTCCAGCTGCCCTCCACCCAGGACACTGCAAGCACATATTCCCATCAGAATCCACACTGTCATTTTGGAAGATGTCCTTTGGGGAACCACTTTTTCCTCATAAGAAACAGAAGCCCAGATCAGATTTCCACAGGACACCCTAATAAAGCAGCAGGTTTGGAGTGCATACACCCAACAGGCAAGAAAATCATAGAATCACAGAA